TGCAACAAAAAAATTAAAAGAATTAAGAATTAAGCAATGCACTTTCCCTTCCAGATTTCCCTTCGATTCTGCTCGATTTTGGAGATAGGTTTAAAAGTGTGCCAAATACTTCTCTTATGGGGTGGGCGATAGACTTACCGCCACGTGGTGTACCCTGGGCAACGTATACTCATACGGCAAAAAGTTTATAAACCGGCAGTTGACTTCTGACTTTAAACTACCATAACTCCACTGGATGCCATATTATACCACTTCCACAGTAATCATCCTACCTTTTCTCTGCCTTTGTGTCAGTCTCTTTTACAACTGTAAATCACTCCTCTGTTCCCCATCCCCCGATTTTCTGTTACTTTGATGTTCCTCTCCCCCTGTGAAGTCCGAAGTCAGCTAAAGGGATAATGATAACTATCAAAACGCCTGCCATTTGAAATAAATAAATAAATACCTCCCTTATTTAGGAAAAGAATTTAATTAGGGTTATAAAAAATGCGGGGATTTGAAGGGATTTGTGCATGACTCTCTTCACGTTCCATCAAAACACGTCTGATTGGCTCATTTAAGTAAATCCTATCCTACTGATATGCGATTTGGCGAATCGGGTTCTCCATTGATACCTTTTCCAAATACATTTTTAATGCGTTGCGTTGCTATGAGGGAGACATTCACAAAACTCCGCTGATGTTTTAAGTTAAAGTGCCACCCTGCATGCAAAGTTGAGGCAAAAAGAGGAATTCATGGAGATTCTCTGAAACGTAACGTATGTGGGAGATATGGGTTTCAAACCAACATTCTCACCATTTCACGTTGATGCCAATTTCCAGCCTATTTGGTTGCAACCCTCATCGAATAATCGATATAAATTAAATAAATCAACATTCAAAATATCTGAAGCAATGATCATAATTCCTTATTTATTTTCCAATATTTATTTTAATTTTGAGAGGAATTACAGTGGTCAATCTAACTGCTTTCAACTAACAAAATAAGTGTCTTTAAAACTTTATTTATTTATTGATTACCACATCTAACATGTATTGCAATAAGACCAATAAGATTCTTTCCTGTCAATAAGTTAACATATTCTCTATTTAACACTGCTATTAAACTTCATTGACTTTCAAAGTGTCAAGAAAAGAAGGCAATTTCAGCATAACTGAAATGGCGAGCTTTATAACACTTATCATCGGCTCTTTAGCTGACTTCGGGTTTCACAGATGAGAGGAACACCAAAGTGAGAAAAGTGGAGAGGGGGGAACAGAGGAGTGATTCAAAGATGTTAAAGAGAGGAAAGGTAAGATTAGTATGGTAGAAGTGGTCGAATATGACTTAGAGTCGGATCAAGGTAGTTTGAAGTCAGAAGACAACTGCCGGTTTATAGACTTGTTTGTCGTATGAGTATACGGTGCCCAGTGTGCACCACGTGGAGGTAAGTATATCGCACCCCTGATTAAGGAGAATTGGAATTCTTTAAGATTGAATTAAATAAAACTGCTTTTTCTTCATTTGATCAACTTTACAAATTTGAATATTTGGGTAAATAGATAAAATCAACTGTTAGATTTTTACTTGTTTCCATGGAAATGTAGCAGAATTTTGTTTGTTTCAAACAAGAGAAGAGGAAAAAGAGAGTTACTACGCGGACGATAGAGAAAAGTACGAAGCCTGATCTTTTGCCAATAAGAAGACTATTTGTTTATTTATTTAAAGATCGTATACAGCGGACAGATTTGACAATGACATGCATACCTTTCACAATTTCTAGTACATTGAAGGGAAATCTCTGTGAAGTTTCCTAATTACTCCCTCTAAACTCTGACATTCTCTACTAGCCCTTATTTTTTTCTCTTAATGATCATATACATAAAACCTTTCATCCTTCATTTTGTTTACTAGAATTGAATTTTGAACATCTACATCGAGGGCGCACACCCGAGAGAGCAAATATACGACGAGTGGTGGAGATGTAAGTTCTTGTTGTGCTTGACATGATAATTGTTTGTCACTATTTTACTTCCAGAATCAATGCGTTCTCCGTGTTCTAATGAGTTAAGTAATGCTTATTTTAAAATCCCCTTGTTTGAAATAATCTAATTTTGTTGGTTTGAATCGTGCTCCTAATGCTTTTGATCACTTAATATCTATGAATAATTGGTAGAATGCCAGTTAAATTCATTTATTAATTTTTGTTCATTCAGTCACAAGGAGATAAATTGAGCTGATAAAAGCAGTCTGGGTTTGCCGAGCTCACTCCACTAAGTGTGAGACAAACGCCAAAATGATCAAACTTAAAATCTCTAATTGAAACCCTTTGTCAACAAAAAAACTTCCCTATGCCTTCGTTGTAATTGCAGTACATTCTTTTCTTCCAATTTTCTATCTTAACTTCCAAAGAGGCAATTGAGAATTTGGTAGGCTATTCACATAACAAATTGATGCGTGAATTGGATTCGATAAATGCTTAAAACACTTGTACATTAAAAGTTTTTTTAAATGGCAGGCATTTTAATAGCTATCATTAGCCCTTTAGCTGACTTCGGGCTTCACAGAAGGAAGAAACATTAAAATGAGAAAAATTCGACAGGGGAAAAGAAGAGCGATTCACAGATGTAAAGGAGACAGACAGACACAAAGGCAGAGAAAAGGCTAGATGAGTACTGTGGAAGGGGTCGAATATGACATACCGTGGGGTCTCGGTAGTTCGAAATCAGAAGTCAACTGCCAGTTTATTGACTTTTTGCCGTATGAGTATAAGTTGCCCAGAGTGCACCACGTGGAGGTAAGTCTATCGCACACCCCTATTCTCACAATATACTTTCTTACTATGTCCTGTCAACGATCATTTAGCCACGGAATACTTAAGTCAAAAGTCGTATCTTTTGATGAAGAAATTTAAGTACTAAATTCATTTCTACCACATTTTATTACTTTTAATCGTAAGAATACATTCAAACCCTTAAGAAGGTTGTGGGGGGGGGGTGGGGAGGGAGGTATTTCAGTTGTGCCGGAGAATCAGTACAAGTTTCGCAAGAAAATGCACAAAGGAATGTGCTTTCTTATACTTTACTCATACTACTTATTTTTGCCCCCTTCGCAGCCAGGGCTCCCTTCCGGTTGAGGCGTTTCTTAATCTCACGCGGTACCTTCGAAATGAACGCGAGCATGTGCCTCTCTATGTGATGGCTCGATCATTCGATGTTCTCAATTACCTTCTAGTTATGCACGAGAGTCAGCCACTCCTGAAGACTTATGTGCGGACTCTCATCTCTGATGCCTATGCAGATATTGACTGGGACAATGCTCAGCGTGAAAATAGTCATCTTTACAAGTAAGTGCGCTCTTTGTTTTGCACTTCAGAAAGTGGGTGTGATTATGGGCTGTCTAGGTTATGGAACCTTTTCGGTTCTTGCCTGTCCAGTCTAGAAAAGCTGTGTCCTGCTGCCATTCCAGTGTTGCTTTGAAGACTCGGCTTGAATTCCTCGATATGCGGCATTTCAACGTCCCTTGAAGTAAAAGCAACTAGAAATTTGGCAATAGAAGTCCTTCTTGTTAGTCATTCCTGTGGAATCGATGTGAAAATTATTGCTGGATTATTATTATTATTATTTCAAGTGGCAGGCGTTTTGAATATTTAACATTAGCCATTTAGCTGACTTTGGGCTTCGCATTGGGAGGAAAATTAAAGTGAGAACAATTCGGGAGGGGGAACAGAAGAGTGACTCACAGATGTAGAGGAGACAGACAGACACAAAGGCAGAGAAAAGGCTAGATGAGTACTGTGGAAGGGGTCGAATATGACATACCGTGGGGTCTCGGTAGTTCGAAATCAGAAGTCAACTGCCAGTTTATTGACTTTTTGCCGTATGAGTATAACGAAAGCCGAGTGATAGACTTTTTTGCCGTAAGAAAATACGCTGCCCAGGGTGCACCACGTGGAGGTAAGTCTATCGCACACAAACTTCCGGTTAATAGACTTTTTACCGTATGAGTATACGTTTCCCAGGGTGCACCACGTGGAGGTAAGTCTATCGCACACCCACCAGAGTGCACCACGTGGAGGTAAGTCTATCGCACACCCCTGTACATTAAAAGTAAATCATTCGAATTAATTCCAAAAAGAACAAATGAACTCCAAATCTGGGTGGCACTTAACATTAGGGTCCGCTCGAATTTGAGTTACTCAACCAATGGCGTTTGTGGGAAGCACCGTTCCCTTCAGCACAGATGGTGAAATGATAAACTACACTGGCTAATTTTAGTTAACTGGAGAGGTGATAGAATCCGAATATTTCCGAATACTTTTCCTTAAACGACAATTCCTACCCAATGAATGAAATTTAGCTATTTATTTTTGTTAATTTTTTAAAAATAAAGCATATGTCAAATAGATGCGTAATTTTGCGTGCAGACAAGGTTGTGGCTATTTAGAAATCATGTTCACTTTCCTGAGAATTCGACCACCTACCTTAATGGTTTGGTGCCTGTTGTGAAAAAGTTGGAATAATAGCTGTGCATTTCAGTAAATATCATCTAACCACGTCTCTAAATTTTATAGATTTTTTTCACGAATTATTAGATCTTTACATCACACTGAGTTATTCGACGTGACAATTTAAAATGTCATACGCTGAGTCTGACAGGACAGGGAGAAAGAAGGCACTTGTTTTTTGGTCCTTGCCTTCCTTTGAATTATTTAACAATTATTGGGCTAGATAATATAATTAGGGATTGACAATTAGACAATGAGATAGAAAATAATATCTTCTTTTGTGTAATACTAATAAGGCTTGGCCTCAACTTTCAATTAATAGAAATATCATTAAATGTCATTGAATCGTTATTTAGTAAGAGTTTCTCATTGGCCAAAACGAATTTTGAAGAACAGAGGCTCAAAACGGTTTATATTCGAAATGTTAATGAAATTTGTCTGGGTTGGTATAAATAGTTGACAGCATGGTTAGACCATATCGCCAGCAAACACGAAATTTCATCCCCTTCCACGAAGATACAAAAGTGATATTCAATACTTCTATGCCATGGGACTCTTACCTTCGAATTTCGATTGCATACTCCATAGAAATTCTTTGAATTTCTCTTCAATTCGGTTCTTAAAGACCCCTCCACGTTTCACTACTTGTCTTCTTCAAATTACTTGAGATGATATCAAAGAGACCAATCAACTTGTTTCCAATCACGCCAAATATACCTGTGTGCTTGTCATATTGGTGAGTCATGACATTGAGCAGATCTTGACATGCAACATGCAGATGTGACTGCTTTCAACTTGATTATTCAGATGAGTTTACCTTGATTGAACTCCAAATTGCTCTTGCCTAATAGAAAGATGTGCTAAGGAGCTATGACCCACTATCCAAACACCACTCAAAAACTAATTCTGATCAATGTAATTGGATCGGGAGTTAATGGTCAATAAATAAAATGTCAAATAAACCTATACCTCAAAGTTAATCAAAGAGAAAGTTTTCGACACTTTGATATTGCCCTTGACCCTCCTCTTGAAAGTGCATTATAATTAGTATTTCAAATGGGAGGTTTTATGATATTTATCATTAGCCCTTAAACTTTGACTTCAGCTTCCCAATGGGTGGGGGGTACATATATAGCAGTTAATTAATAGCAGTTCATTAGCTGTCTTCTTGCTTCCCAGTATCTCTGGCCTCCCGTCCTTGTCTTTAGAGCTGGACACGGAATCAGATGGGGCTTCTCCATTTCCTCCTGAAGGTTACGTAGGGGGCATGCGGGTTGAGTGTATACTCCCAATCTGTGAAGGTGTTTTGCCAAGTAATCGTGTCCGGTACGCAGTCTAAATTCAGCAACGGCTTCGATTTTTGGCTAGTCGGCTANATGTGAAAATTATTGCTGGATTATTATTATTATTATTTCAAGTGGCAGGCGTTTTGAATATTTAACATTAGCCATTTAGCTGACTTTGGGCTTCGCATTGGGAGGAAAATTAAAGTGAGAACAATTCGGGAGGGGGAACAGAAGAGTGACTCACAGATGTAGAGGAGACAGACAGACACAAAGGCAGAGAAAAGGTGAGGTGAGTACTGTGGAAGCTGTGTAATATGACATACAGTGGGGTGATGGTAGTTTGAAGTCAGAAGTCAACTGTCAGTTAATAGACTTTTTTGCCGTGTGAGTATACGTTGCCCAGGGTGCACCACGTGGAGGTAAGTCTATCGCACACCCCAACTTGGAATTATAGTAGTTTGTTTTAACTCTGAAAAATGCATGATAGCATTTTAAGGCCAATTAAACAGCACATGGGAAAGTGTAAGAAAATGAATTCGCTTGCTTAATTCTTCGGCACTGATCCCTCAATTACAGAGAATCCTTCGGCAGCCTTTAAATATTACTTATAACACGATCGATAATTTAATTTTGTACAAACGTGTAAATAGTAATTCCTGACTAGCAAAGAAGTCAAGATCAAATAGGGTTTTTTATGGCAGAATATGTGTCTCCATCCATTAATTTTATCTCTTATTTTTGCTGTAAAATTTGCCCAAACCTCTCTCCCTCGTCTACGCAGCATCCTAGAAACGAATCTTCTCAACGTCTGAGTTCAGTGTTGACCAATCATTCTGCCTGACTATGTTTTCAAATTATATATTTCTGTAATGCAACAGCACTTGGCCAGGTAGACTGCTTATCTCTCAGCTCATCTACAAGCAGGACACAGGTACAAATGTTATTTCAAAGTCCAACACGGGGGATACGATATCTAACGTCAGTTAACCGTCGCTGAAGTCAACAGCCTAATTACTACAGCACTGCAACTAAAGATCCAGTTCTGAATAAGCCCACTAAATTTCGTGGATGTTCATGGTCTTCTCAACAGAGTGCTTTGAAACCTTATTGTCGTCATGGCAATCGATCCATAACAGACTTGTTCTTAATGTTCAAAATATCGTTTTGAAAATCATTCAGCACTTGCGCAATCAGTACTAGTCACTTGACATCTTCATGTACTAACCTAGAGCGGATCTGGAGCTAGGAGTAATGCTTCAGTAGTGTTCCTACTTTCCCTCATTAAAATGAATTTTTTTTTCCCCTTTTTTGTGGGGAGAGGAAATTAGATGAAAAGACAAGTAGTTAGAAAAAATTCCAAACAGCATTACAGAATTGTATTTGCCCACTTCAATTTGACTTCAATTTCCTAACTTGCAATCGTCATTTCCTTTGAAAATAGGAAATAATTTTAACCTGCTTCTCTTGCGTACTCATGTAGGAAAATTAAAAAAAGATGCCGCCTCTTTCAGCCTCCTTGTAAAGTTTTTTTAGTTTTAACTGAGCTATTTTTGTCTTATTTTCAAACACTACTCTATATTTGTTTAAGTTGCTATTTTGAAGAAGCTAATTTTAATTCTTCTTATTATTATTATCGTGGATTAGTTAGTACACTATTTCTACGCCTTATTATGGAGCCAAACTTGAAATAAACAAATAACATGGGTTGTCAATTCTCGCTTGTACACAGTGTTTTGAATATCCAGAACAGCAGAGTGGAATTATAGGTCAGAGGGAAGACAATTTGTGTACTTCTAAATCGAATGGATTCTAGCATGTGAACTACTGATTCTTGGGTCTCTTATGTATAGAGGAGTGTTATTTCACGATGCTTTACTGAGAAATTTGCCACCTACTCTTACTGATTGACCTTTACGGTAGATCATTTCATTTACTGAAACCTTGACTTTATGCTGTTTTCTTGTTGATGTATGGACGTATCCCCTAAAAAAGTAGAACCTTCGCTCCATTGGTCATTAATTTGCGCTCTGTCGGTCATAATTCATCTTGTTCTTTTCTTCCCAGTTTGGCTCGACAGACAATCATCACGATGGCCTGCCTGAATGGTCACAAGGAATGTATCTCCAAGTCGAGGAGCCTTTTCGAGGACTTCATGAAAGACCCTACCAACCATAAGTAGGTTCCTCTTTCGCCCTTAATGGTTAAAATTTGCCTAATAGATGCTATTTAATGTCAGTGTCAAAGCAGAGAATTACTATTTCCATTAGATAAAGGTATCTGAACTCGAGTCACAATTCAATGTTACCCTGGGTTCTTACGTGGGTTGGACTTTTGTAGAAATAGGAGGTATTGTCATTCCAATTACGGAATCTTCATATCGTCCACTTTTTACTCCAATATTATTTATTTCTATCAAATGGCCGGCTTTCTGGTAGTTAGCATTAACCCTTTAACTTACTTCGGGCTTCACAGAGGGGAGGAGGAACAGACAAAGTCACAAAAGTGGAGAGGGAGGAAACAGAAGAGCTATTCACATATGTAAAAATGGCTGACACAAAGATAGAGAAAAAGATAAGGTGGATGTTGTGGAAGTGGTCGAATATGGCATATATAATCGAGTCATTGTTGTTTGAAGTCAGAAGTTAATTGTCGGTTTATAGACATTTTTGCCGTATGAGTATACGTTTCCCAGCGTCCACCATGTGGAGGTAGGTCTGTCGCAAACCCCACCCAAATCTTATAAAATTTTATGTCCTCGCGTTTAAAGGTTCAAATGACTGGTTTCCATTTCAAAGTAGCTCTTATATCGACCATTTTCTAAACATCACGACCAAATTGGATTGAGAAATTATCTTCATAACGATTAAAGGAATATAATAGTCTGTCCTAAAATCAGATGGCTACTAGTTAAAGTGAACTGACGTTTATTGGACAAACTCATTTGAATTATCGAAAGAGTGGGGATAGAATGAGGGTGGGATATTTGAACTTCGGAACAGGGACAAATTCGACTTTGCTGGACAACTTGAATTCGAGTACAATGAGAATGTTTAGGCAGAATAAACAAAAATCACCATCTGATAATTTAGATTCTCCAAGGTACACCGCAATTTGATGCTCGTTATGATGTTTTTTAACCTGGCATGGCTCAACTCGGACTGATTAACTTTTTTCTTGCAGAATACCATCAAGTCTTACACCAACTGTCTTCTGTATGGCGCTTCGATATGGAGGCGCTACAGAGTACAATTACTTGAAAAAGATGATGGTTGAAGCCTTGCACGAAGAGGAGAAACATCGCATTATTGAGGCCATGGGATGCATACGAGATTTTAGTCTTTTTAAGAGGTCTGTAACTGTTATTAAAGCTGTACTTTATTTTTTTGTCGTAATGCATATACATTTTGTCGCTGTTTTAGTTTCATTTTTGGATTAATGGATGATACTAGCCAAAAGTACGACGAATTGGAACTTCCTACAACACTTAACGGAAACCCCGTGGCTCTCTACGCTCTCTACGACATTCTTAAACGCGAATTCCCAAGAAGGAGGTATGAAGACTTCGGTTGAAATATTTAAAGGAACTTAACGACTTTTAGAATTATTATAAAGGTTTGATAAGATGATGGATTCATTCATTTTAAGGTTTAACAACACTGTATTACTGACATAATTTCTTCTTAAATTAATCTACCGGTTCCGTGAAATTACAGAGGATAGTTAAGCAGAGTTTAATTCATAGTAAAAGTCAAAAAATGTTCTAACAACTGTATTAATGAAATTGAAGTTAAAAAATTAGTACAATGATTTTGCCTTGATATTTAACTACCATTATTTAAATGCATCTTTTTTGCACAATTTAGCGAGTCCTTCAATTTCACGCTTATTTTGAGGTCAATTGAAAAACGCGGAATCTACATTGATATGCTGCCTATTCAAGAAGAAGTACGTTTAAATTTTGGATCGAATAATAAGAAAGATTTCAACCTACTGTTGTTTAAGTAATCTTATACTTCAAAAATACCTTAGAATTCGACGCTATAAGTGCTTTTAACTGAATGGGCTGATAAATGTTCACTCAGTTAAAAATGGTAAAATTGGACTACTATGAAATGTCGCATGCGTCAATATGCACTTACAGTGGTGAGGATGCCCAAACCCATTGGTTAACGTTTAAAGAAAACTGAGAGAGTTGAAAGTTTATGAAAAGAATTGCTGTAAAATACCATATCCCGACTCTAGTGCTGCCAACACTTCCGTAAGGGTACTTTTGAAGTTTTTAGAAGATTCGTGGTTGCTGCTGGCCTTTGTTCTGCGTGGAAACTTGGTATACTTTTGTGGCATCTACAAAATTGTTTCGAAATTCGAATTTTACCAATTATACTGTAACATTATTGTTGACCTTGGAATGTTTTTGTGGGGTAAATATTTGGATGGTGTTAAAATAGTGCTAATTTAGCTTGAATGTTTGCTTCATTCATGCTTGATTTCCATTTAACCCGGCATGACTTTTACATATTATTGATGATTCGGCAGTTTTCCTCACAGAAAACATGCTGAATGTCATGTTGAATTTCTGTTATTATCCGATATTTGCTGATCAACTAATTGACGTCGCAGTTATTCCACTTCAATAATTATGATTTTCCACGTGTGTAGACATCTTAATTCGGAATAAGTTTTAGATAACCCGTATAAAACCATCTGAGGTTTTAGTGTGTATTTCATAAATTGTTTCTTTCTCCAATTTTTCACTTGTTTGACAAAATGGTGATTTATCTCTTGTTTTAGCTAAGACAAATGAATCGTACCCTCAGTCGCGAATCGGATAAGACTGCCGAACGTGCAATAAATCGAATCATGAAGCAGTCAAATCGTCATCAAATGTGGTTGTCTCGCAACGCCAATACCATTTACAAGTGGCTAAAACAGGAACTTGGTGTTCAGAATGTCCCGTCACAATCCATCTCATCCCAATCTATAACATCGCGCTTGACCACAGGCGCCAAAGTTACTGCTTAGCGAGCAGGCAAAAAGATTAACACATTTTTCTGATCGGTCCGAAATAAGAACTAATGGGAGTTGTTTTGAATCAAACAATAACCAAATAATCAAGCCCTTTATTTGGCACCTTTTTTTCTTCTCTATGACTTTCTTGTCTAATTTTCTCATTCCCAAACCTATTATATCCGGAAAACTAAAAGGCTGTTTATTTATTTTCTCGTGTTTTCTCTGTCTTCTTACGTATCCTTAAGTGCACAGGCCTTTTTGACAGAATTTCAAACATTTTCTCTATCTTCCATAAACATTTCCCTAAATAACTAACTTTTATCCTATTTGTGCTTGTCTGCGTTCCCCTAGTGAATTTCCCCTATATGGAATATATACTTTGGCATTATATTAAACAAGAAACAGTTGTGCTTGATTTAGTAAAAAAATTAAAAGAAACCGTGGTGAAATTTGAGCCTCTCCTTTATTTATCTTGATCAATGTATATAACTAAATGCCCCTTTTGACTTAACTAAAAAATGAATAATTGAATACGATGGTTATCGTCACAGATAATACACCATTATTATTATTTCAAATTTGAGACGTTTCGAATAGTTATCATTAGCCATTTAGCTGACTTTGGACTTCACAAAGGGAGGAACATCTAAGTGAGAAAAATTCGAGAGGGTGGAGCAAAAGAGTGATTCACAGCTATCAGTGTCATGTTCCAAAAAACATCGATTAGGGGCGAAGTAGAGATGGCTGATTTAACTGATAATTTTTAATATTCTTTATATTTTAAGTGATGGGTAAAAAATAGAACCAAGTAACTAAATTGTAAAAAACTAAAACTGCAATTTAATAATTAAAGTGGATGTATGTATACCTTCATTATGCTTTGATCTAGCGTTCATGTGTTACTTTTCCAGTGTCATGTGGTAATAAATTTGAGAAGAATATCAAAATTATTGTCAAAAAATTGTCACTAAGTACTCATATTATACCAGCTAGGTACACTCGGTAGTAATTTTAAATAAAATAAGCTCATTTTTCATACAAATGTAATTATTTATTAATTTAAAAGGGAACAAAGCCTATTCGTGAGCCCTGGTCAATTAAAACTGAAATTTTAGATGAGTGACATTTTCAAGATAATCTTCGCTGTTTATGTCGCACAAATATAAATGCATTTAATATACTTTTCAATGCGTTTAATAATATAATATAATTTGGTTTCATGTATTTAATTTAAGTGTGCTATATTAACAGACGCGATTTTCTGATTGGTCCTTGAATTAAGATTTGTAGCAGCCTTCAATTTCAAGAACCCACTCGCTGACAATGAAAAGGACTTCGAGGGTTGGTGCTATAACTATATAAACTGTTTTAGGGTTCCCCTTGTGGTTTTCTAATGCCTTCTAGAAGCTCAGAAAGCGCTAGAGATTGTCGCAAACGAAAAGCGCTTCGCATTCAATATCTGGCTGAAAGTGTTCGATTACGAGAATTAACTGTTCTTAAAATGAGACAAGATGTCGAAAGAGTAAGCCAATTGAAAAACTTATAGTTTTTTATAGTTATTGGAGGTGTGCCACGAAATCGATAACGGAGAATTTCCTCAAAATGCTGTAGCTGAACTCGGTATACCTTATGAATGACGCTAATCAAAATCCAACGTACGGTTGAGTTGCATTTCTTTCGCCTTTAACTTCTATTAATTGGCATGTATACAATTCAAAATCCT